ATAATGTTGTAGGATCTAAAAATCAATATATATGAGTCATTTCCATACACTTACAACAAACTATTTGAAAAAGAAATTTTAAAAAATTTCTCAAAGTAGCTACAAAAAAATAAAATAACATACTTAGGAATAAATTTAACCAAGGAGATTGTACACTGAAAACCATAAAGCATTGATGAAAGTAATCGAAGAAGATACAAATAATTGGAAAGATATTTCATATTCATGGATTGACTTAATATTGTTAAAATGTTCACACAACCTAAAGCAACCTGCAGATTCAGTGTAATCCCTATCAAAAATACCAATGACATTTTCCAAAACAATGGGAAAAAAAATTCTATGGAACCTAAAAATAACACAAATAGCCAAAGCAATATTGAACAAAAAGAACAAAGCTACAGATATCACTGTACCTGATTTGAAAATATACTACAAAACTATAGTATCCAAGCAGCATGGCACTAGCATAAAAATAGACACACAGATCAATGAAACAAAATAGAGAACCCAGAAATAAATCTTCATATTTATAATCAATTGTTTTTTTAACAATGGTGTCAAGAGCACACAATGGGGAAAGGACAGTGTCTTCAATAAATAGTGTTGGGACAAATGGATATCCACAAACGGAAGAAGGGAATTAGACCCTATCTCATGCTACATAGTAAAGTCAGCTCAAAATAAATTAAAAACTTAAATGCAAGAACTGAAATTGTAAAACTGCTAAGAGAAAACATGACAACCGCTCCATAACATTGGTTTGGGCAAAGATTTTTTGAATACGACCCTGAAAGTACAGTCAAAAAGTCAAACATAGCCAACTGGGATTTCATCAAACCAAAAAGCCTCAACACAGCCAAGGAAACAATTAGCCAAGTGAAGACACAACCTATGGAATGGGAGGAAATATTTGTAAACCACACATCAGTTAAGGAGGTAATTTTCAAAGATTTAAGAATCTCAAACAACATAATGGTAAGAAATCATATAACCTAATTTAAAATGGGCAAAGGACCTAAATAGATATTTCTCAAAAGAAGTGATATAAGCCGGGTTCGGTGACTCAGCCTGTAATCCCCCGCCTTTGGGAGACTGAGGTGAGTGGATTGCCTGAGCCCGCAGGTTCGAGACCCGCCTGGGCAGCGAGACCTCATCTCTACAATAAATTAAAAAATCAGCTGGGCGTGGTAGCACATGCCTGTAATTCCGGCTACTCCGAAGGCTGAGGTGGAAGGATCTCCAGAGCCCATCAGGTCGAGGCTGTGGTGGCTGGGAGCGGCTACTGCACTCCAGTCTGGGCGACCGAGTGAGATTCCAACTCAAAAAAAAAAAGTGATATAAGTGGCCAACAGGTATGTGGGGAAAAAAAAGCTTAAGAGAAATGCACAATAGATAGTCACCTTATACCTGTTAGAATGGCTATTACCAAAAAGATGAAATATGATAAATGCTGGAAAAGATGTGGAGAAAAGGAAATGCTTCCACACAGCTGGTGGGAATGTAAATTAGTTCAGCCATTGTGGGAAATAGTATGGAGTTTCTGCAAAAAAAGCTAAAAATAAACTACCATACTTTCCAGGACTCCCACTACTTGGTATATATCCAAGGAATAAAATCGAAGAGATACCTATAATTCCATTTTTATTGCAGCAGTGTTCTCAATAACCAAAATATGAAATAAACCTGTGTCCATTAATGACTAAATGGATAAAGAAAATAAGGTACATACTGTAAACCAAAAAAATAAAAATACAAGCATGTCTCAATCATTTTGACATTTATTCTGTCATGGTTTATGACATACTCAGAAAAGAAGCACAAATCACAGCAGCATCTTGATTTGTGCCTTTTCTGGCTTGGATTTTGATGACTTCGGTATTCAAAGGGGAAAGAATGGGTGGGAGAAGAAAGAAAAAAGAAAAAACTGGGTAGAGGTTAGACAAAAAGTTACATTCTTGTGAAGGCTTTGCAAAGCACTTAGTAAATTTACATCTTAAACATGAAAAGAGGGGATAGAGAAACAGTCAATTATGTGTTTGTCTTGTGCTCAGTAAATCTATATTTTACATAAGTTAAGAGTGTAGAAAGATAGAGTAGAGGAAGAAGTCAAATATGCATTTGTCTCAGGGTGGGTGGAAGAATGGTTTCTAGTTTTGTTCTTGTTCCATATCTGTAAAGGTAAACTGTTCATTTACATTGTCAGGATAAGATTCAACAGAACTCTGCTTTTAACACTCTTCCACAAGGAGATATGTATTCTGAAAGATTTGGGGTCCATAAGGAATTTCCTTGTGAGCAATTGGTGAGGGAGACCATCCAGGGAGGTATGTGGCCTTGTATTGCTGCAACTGTCTGTTTGGGAACAAAAGGATAATTTTTGCTCAGGCAATCCACTCACCTCAGTCACCCAAAGCGTGGGATTACAGGCTGAACCACCAAGCCCGGCCAAAAAAGTTAATTTTTTAGTATAAGATTATTGGCCACAGATGAGAGCGATTATATATCAAATGAGGGAATTCTTGGCTGCCACTTGTTCCCTACAGTTTTCATAGCTTCTTTTATGTCCTTATTCCTCAACGTGTAGATTATAGGGTTTAGCATGGGGGTAACAACACTGTACAATACTGAGATCAGTCTGTCTTTCTCCAATGAGTAAGTTGAGATGGGCCGTATGTATGTAAAGATGGCACTGCCATAATAGAGAAGAACAATGATCAGGTGGGAGGCACATGTAGAAAAGGCTTTGTGTTTCCCCCCTGAGGAGTGGATCCTTAAGATGGTGGAAATTATATAAATGTAAGAAAGAATGATACCCAGGAAAGGAGCCCAACCAATGAAGACCCCAATGGACAGCAATGCCAACTCATTGACAGAAGTGTCCCCACAAGACAAGATCAGCAAAGGGGGGATGTCACAGAAGAAATAATTAATCTGATTGTTGCCACAGAAGGGCAAGCGGAATGTCAATACTGTGTGCACCACTGAATTGAGGAAACCACCACTCCAGCATGAGGCTGCTAACTGGTTGTACAGGGCTTTGTTCATAATCATGGAATATCTTAAGGGTTTGCAGATTGCAATGTACCGATCATATGCCATTGCTGCAAGGAGCAGACTCTCTGATCCTACAAAGAAAATGAATATAAAAAGTTGAGCCACACACCCCGGATAGGAAATACTTTTCTTCTTTGATAAAAGATGCACCATCATCTGAGGGACGTTGGTGGTGGTGTAGCAGATGTCAAGAAAGGCCAAGTTCCCTAGAAAATAGTACATAGGTGTATGCAGGTGTGGATCAGCCACAGTCACCAAGATAATGAATATATTTCCTCCCAGAGTACAGATATAAGTCAGAAAGAAGGTGATGAATAGTAAATACTGCAATTCGTTTAGGTTGAAGAATCCCAAGATGATGAATTCATATAGAGCTGTTTGATTCTTCCCTTCCATAATATTGGCTTGTTTCCTTTTGGGAATTAGGCAGAGAGAAAAACACAGATTACAATAATCAGTCACATGCTTCCGTAGCTGTAGTCTGCAAAACAAAGGAAAACAAGTGTTACAAGTAAAAATCATTCATCTGCATCAAGTACCAAAACAGAGAAGCAGCACCCTTTTGCAAATCATAGCTCATACCCAACACAGATGCAAATATACCCAATGTTTCACTTTTAGATCAAGTTTCTGTAATCTCTGGTAGTTTTTAAGCAGAAATAAAATTATAAAAAGATACATACATCCTAAGAGTTCTCTGTTAATAGTGGCTAGGTCAGGCTCGCCTGCATGTTCTTGGTGATGTGTGAGCCCGTGTTGCAGTAGACAGTTTATAGAAGAATCTCTGGTCTTCACTGGCTTCTTTCAAGCCATCTCTGTTCCCCCTTTTGATCTCTGAATGCTGCTATAAAATTTTTCTATTTTTTCTGATTACAGTTAACATATTTGTTTTAGAATATTTGGAAAATATTGAAATAAAATAAAAATCTTTAGTATCCACCAGATGAAATCTCTACTAATGGTTTGGTGTATGTCCTTCTGATCCATTTTCCATGTATAAATGTTCAAAATGAGAATCAGAAAATATATGTTTTAAGCTGATTTCCCCTGAGCACCATATTGTGATAATTTCCTATGGCAATAAGTATTCTTATAAAATATGATCTTTGAGTTATATACAAGTCTTTATATAAATATAGTAAACTTTTTATATATCTCATCCTTATTAATGAATATTTATATTGTTTTGTTTATTTTTATTATGATGAATTTCAATAATAAATATATTGTTAGATTTTTCTGAATTTTGGGTTAGGTTACCTGCATTTCTATAAACTTTCCAAGAGACTCATCCCAAAAAGTTAGAGGCCTCCTGATGCAGGCTATCAGTCTGGAAAATTCAAGAACCATTTGGCTAATGCAGAATTCAATGTCTATTTGGACAAATTATTGTAAGTGCTACATGGAGAAGGGCGTTGATAATCCCTGAGTGCTTTCTATACAGCATCACATCTAATCTTTAAGAAGGCCTTTGAGATAAGTAATATTGTCATTCCTGCTTTCCAAATGAAAACACTGAGTCTCGGCAAGATAAATGTCTGGCAGAGGTTATATAGCTAGTAGGTGAAAAACACAGTTTTATCATTCTCAAAGCTAATACACTTTCACTGAGCGGCTAAAAATTTACTTTCCATTAACAGATAACAATAAAATGCTATTGAAAAACACTTCTTTGATTTTAAATACAATCTTGCTTCATATAATTGAATTATTTTAACTAGTTACAAATTTTTATAACTAGTGTTCCTGACTGTTGATAAAATTAAATGACTGTAGGTAGAATCCCCTAGTTTAAAATGTTGAAAATCTAATTCAAGTAGAAAAACTGATTTGTAGTTTGATATTTGAAGCAAATTATAGAAACAAGACAAATTAAATATGAAATTTTTAAAATTAAGGAAATTATTACATATTTATTTAAATGATACTTTCAGATTAAAATATTAAGAATTGGATTGGAAAGAAATGGAGGTATTTGAGAGCTTTTTGGAGATACAGTATTTACAAATTTAGTATAAAGTGGGAAA